ATGTGAAACTGTCTATGTATCATCTCACGACAGCATAAACCGGCAAATCTACTTATTCATTTCGAGAAAAGCAAGATTTTATTGAAAGAAATCGAAAGGTCCTGCCTTATTTGACCAATCATTTTTTTGTTTCGCAGCGATTATTGAGGAATTGTTGATTGGAGGCACTTTGGAATCGGACATCATTGCATACACCCACTGCCGCCACCATTCCGATGAAACGACGTTCCATTCGGCGAAGCAGCTCAGTAATATACGTTGTTTGAATCCACTTAAACGAAAATCTTAAGAAAAAAAAAGTTGAAAAAAGCTCGACTGATTTTTCAAGAACTTTTTGGACAGGAAAAATACGAAAATATTGCCTATGAAGTTCTCGAAGTTTAATGAAAAGAGGGGAAAAGCAATGCAGTAATATACCTAACCACTGTGAGTTCAACTTCTGCTGAATTTGGATGCAATCCCAAACAAATGTGCCCGAGCTGAAAACTTTCGATTTTATATTCATCACCACAGCAAATTGGAAGTTCTTGAAGGAGTGCACAAAATGAATAAATGGGAAAAATAGCAGTGAGGAGGATGTCACAAATTCTTTTTTCGCCGGAGCAGGCACAAAAATGTTTCTAAGTAAGATGCAAAACACCCGAGTTAACAGGTGCAAAGTTAAGTTGGCAAGATGTAAAATTTAACCAAAATGCCAGAATTTATGGTCAAGCCGTAAAGTCCAGTCAGGCAGGCGCGCGAAATCTAGATAAAGACGGACAGTAGGGAAGATGTGACTGCAACTGAGATACAATAATTGGCCAGCGCACCGACTGCCAGTGTTTTTTGCATAGTTCCCCGCATGTTTTTTTCGCTAGCAGCACTTTTCCAGGCAGTTGCTTCTAACTGAAAGAACTGAGGCTGGTCACTACGACTGTGAGAAGACATTCCCTTAAAATTTCAGCTTTCCAGCTCTTGTTTTTTCGGTCCCCGAGCAACTTACCTGCAAAAAAGTTTCACGGGCTCGTACATACGAATCGCGTATACCTAGGGATTGGGTTTGAACTCTTTATTCCTACGCGTGTGGGGAACATCTTAAAATCCCAGCCTTCTAGCTTTTCAGATTCCCGAGTTATCACCTTACCCGCAAAAAATTTTCACGGGCAGAACCACGCACGCCTGGCAGCTGGGTTTGAACACATCAAGACCTACGCGAACGGGAACATTCCCTTAAAACTTCAGCTTTGTAGCTTCTCTGATTTCCGAGTTAGCAACTTATGCGCAAAAAATTTTAACGGGGCCGCACGTATCAACCATGCCTACCCGAGGTTGGATTTGAACTAGTTAATCTCTACCTGACAGGGAATATCTTCTTAAAATCCCAGCCTTTTAGCTTTTTAATCTCCCAAGCTAGCAAATTACCTGCAAAAAACTTTCGCGGGTCCGCACGTAGGAACCACGCACAATTGAAGGCTGAATTTGAATTCATTAAGTCTGGCGTGGGTGGGGAACATCCCTTAAAATGACAACTTTCAAGCTTTGCTCGTTCTCGAGTTAGCAGCTAATCCGCCGAAAACTTTGACAGGTCCGTGCGTGGGAACCACGTGAGTAGGAGCGCCCATTATGGGGATGGGAGTCTGTAAATGCATGTAGATTAAGCTCCCAAAGTTTCAGCCTTGTAGCTTTTGTAGGTCTCGAGATGAAAAATCAGTACAGACGAACAAACAGACACCCCTCGACAATATTCGTTTTTGCATTGCATAGATGCGAAAAACGCACAATAAACCAGGAAGAGGATCCATCAAATAGCGAAAAGAACAGCCACAATTTAGCGTAAAACGCCCAGCCGTGTTATAAATTAATCAAATAGGGGAAAAACGATAAAAGATGCCTCACTTGTTACAATATGTTAAAAGAGGGATGGAAGCAGGAATTTCTAACGAAAACTCTTAAGCCAACGACCGATGTAAAATATTTGGCAAACCTGGACAACTACTTCAAGAAGTTCGTCGACGCGTTTATTTTCATTTGCCCAGCATACAAAATCCATCAGAGATGCACGACCGAAACCATCTGTGCGCATGTTTCGAGCCGAGTCTTCCTTAAAATCAGAAGGAAAAAAGCGGGCATGAAATTTGTTAGGAATATCCAACGTAAAAGAACGCACAAGAAATGAAGGAAATGGCGTACAATATTCAAATGTGCATACACGTTCTGGACATCTTCTTTCGTCAAATAACCATCGCTGTCCGAGTCGAACATCTGAGCAATAACTGAAACAACCGCAAAACACACATCTCAGGTCTCTCATCTCATCCTCTCATTTATCGTATAAAATCTTATCGGCGCTAAAATATGTCAATTAATTGAAAAAGAAATCAATTCCCAACACGGCTCCCGGATATTCCCGTGAATGAAATTTTAATCGACGCAAGCTTTTACATTACTTTAGCGCCCTCCTTCCGACGATGATGATAGT